CCAAATTTCATTAACATTCGCTTACTAATTTAAAAGTTATAGCATGAAACTATAATAAGCACAAAATGGTTACAATGTTGGTCCTAGGGACCGAGCTTGAGTTGAAAGAGTTAATTAATAGTGTTAATGTCCAACCATCTATTTCTGTACCTTCATTCTCTAGCTCAGTTTGGGGCATAAACTTGGATTGCTGTCATTGCTTCCTTTCTACTGAAATTTATATCTAGGGATATCACTCTGTTTGATTGTGTATGAAAGCTTCTAATATAGTCTTTCATTTTTGGATGGATGACAAAGACTACACCTTTCACTTGTGAATCTTATTCTGTCTTCCTCACCCTAATTATATCTGTACTCCTTTCGTTTCTACTAGGCCTTCTCCAGTTTTGGTATAGCTTTTCACAAATGGCTGTACTTATTCCAGTGGAGGTCATTTATCTGCCAGTGGGTTTTTCTTTTTAAAATTATCTTTTCACTTAACTTTTGGAATGTCTTTTTCTATGAATAAAAAATTAAGTGCATGATAGTTAATATATTAACACAATCAAGAATATCCCCTTGAAACACTTTTCAGGTGGCCTTTCAATTGAAATATGTATGGCACTTTTTTTTGTTCTTCTCTACTTTGGACATTAAGATTCAATTTTGTGTTCTTACATTTCCTAGGTATCATTTTTGGTTATATTTAGTGTCTTATACATTTTCTGTATCATCAGGCTCAGTGAAAACAATAATGACAAATGTTTACTTTCTGCTCTCTATAATATAGCTACCAACCTTATACCACTAAGCTCGGGTGAATTGCTGAGTGCTAATGCAACAAGGACTCCTGTATAGACATTGCTTTTGCTAGCCCCACCTTTTCTTTATTGTCAGGGTGTGTACAAGGTCATACAGTCATACAAAGTTGTATTTTGCAAGGTCATGCAAAAAGTCATATCAAGTTGAGATTTTTCTAGGTCAAACAAAATATAGAATGAGCACCTGTATGATCAACTGTTCTGGATTTACTGAGGCATCTTTATATTCGAGGCCAATCCCCATCCAAAATTAGAGCTGAAGCATTACAAAAACTGCTTTATAAAGTATGACTAAAATCTGTTATCTCATA